GAGCTTCCAGAGTGTTAAATATGTAAACGCCTCCGCTGTTCATGAAGTGCTAAGACTAAGCGAACATTGGATGCTGCTCAATTTTGGAAAGCAGTCAATAAAAATGAAAAGGAGCTCGCACGTCTACTATAAGGTTTTACCGATTTACGTCCCCATGAGCCATGTTGGTAAACTCTTACACTGTTGGATCTTTTTTTTGTGTTGAAGGACAAAATTCGTAAATGTCCAGCCTTGACAGTCATTGATACATATTGCGCTTCATGTGGAGCATCTTACGTGGGTTCGACCCGTCGTAGCTTGCGCTGCGGAGTGCAGCCAAGTCAGGGAGAGTCTGCCCGTTCAGACAACATTCTTTCCTACCGAAAACCTGTGGCCATCCGAGAATCACTCATTTTCACAAAAAATCCGCTAGTGAATATGATGAGGCATTTAAGTCCTTTACAATTTATAACGTGGCCTTTTCACACGGAGCCTAAAAAAAATTTCGTCGCGGGTTTTTGCATTTTTTTCTCAGCAGCCCTGTTTGCGCTGTGACCATTGCCATGTTTAGCGATGTAGGATAAACGCACATATGTGTTATTATACCTTTGCACCCTTTCCTGGTAATGATACACAATACACGAAAACTTTGACAGTCACATAAGAGATAGCGACTGCTGTCCTTGCCATCAAGTTTTTGCTGTCTCGTGCTACCCGAGCATGTTTCGCGTACACAGACAAACACACACACACACACACACACACACACACACACACACACACACACACACACACACACACACACACACACACACACACACACCACACACACACACACACACACACACACACACACACACACACACACACACACACACACACACACACACACACACACACACACACACACACACACACACACACACACACACACACACACACACACACACACACACACACACACACACACACACACACACACACACACACACACACACACACACACACACACACACACCACACACACACACACACACACACACACACACACACACACACACACACACACACACACACACACACACACACACACACACACACACACACACACACACACACACACACACACACGCACACACACACACACACACACAGTGAATATTTATCCGTTACATACATATATATATATATATATATATATATATATATATATATATATATATATATATACATATATATACCACGAATGTGAGGACCATTGAGGACCGGGACAAAATTTGAGTGATTTCGTCATGAAACACGGGAGCAGTCGGTTGGATTTGAACACATAACCTGTTCATTGCCAATTTATCCGGCCCGTCAATCCGTCGAATGCTGCCAGCCTCCTCCTCTAATCTCCAGGGTGTGCATCACTGGCCCGTGCGCGTACCCAGCGGACGTCAACGAATGCCCGGCGGCAAAACGCCTGACGGCGCCACCGGATTTTCGAGGGTTCGAAGCCTTGGGCAGGCTTGATGCGAAGTATCCGGGGTGGCATTAGCAGGCGGCGGGCGGCCGCTGGCTGGTCGGCGCAGTTCGCCACCGACGGCGACGCCCCGCCCACCGGCCGGCAGAGCAACCAAGTCTGCAGGATTGGTTTTTGATCCACTGCTGCCTGGGAGGTGCTGTTTGAGTTGAACTTCCAAGTGGGTGCAACACATCATTTCTTGGCACAGATGCAGGTCTTCACAAAAATAACGTTGGAGAGTATAAAGTAGACCATTAATGAGTC